CGATACAAGGCTGCTATAAGGTCAAGGTCACCTGAGAGTTTCCTTGCTAAAAGTTTTTTCACTGATTCAAGTCGGCCAAATGATGAAGACATTCTTGCCATGTTAAGGCTCTAAATGAATGCTTACAGCAAACTGGATGCCAGATTCGTGATCAGCGGTTACGAATCGTATATATAAGCTACCATTCATGTGTCTAGGCAAAAAGAAGGTCATTCGAGGTCACATGAGGTCAACATAAAACTTGAACTTTTCCATGCAAAATATGTGTCATTCGACGCGTCTTGACAAGACGAATGCGATAGTACCACTACTGTAGCTCTCGGACCATTTTTGTTAGTTATTTGCGAAACACCAAAACCTCAGCTCAGGGTCGTTGACCTGACCTCTGACCTCAGGTCACCAAAACTATTTTCATACTTTTTTACCAGGGGTGCGGAGCCGGAGCCGGAGCTGGAGTCGGAGCCGCCGGAGCCGGCATATTTTGCCCGGAGCCGGAGCCGTAGCCGGAGCCGTCGAAAAAGGGGGCGATTCCGGCTCCTTTTTTTGAAGAGGAAAAATTATTGACCTAGTTCGGTTTGACAGTTCAAGGCAGTAAAACATGCGGTAGTCAAAATATGAAAATAGCCTTGTTATGCAAATACAGAAGCAGCGCGCACCAATCCCATCATCTTGTTTCTTCCACCCGTATTTAATTGCATAGGGGATGTACTGAGTATTGGAGCCGGAGCCGGAGCCGGAGCAGCCGGAGCCGGACCATTTTACTCGGAGCCGAAGCTGGAGCCGGAGTCGCCATCGCATTTCACCCGGAGCCGGAGCCGGAGCCGATTTTTTTTCTCTGGAGCCGGAGCCGTCTGAAATTTTCACGGCTCCGCATCCCTGCTTTTTACCCACATCAAACGCCACGCAACCGCTTCTGTTATTTGTCACAATCGTTTTGTCATAATTGTTTCACAATCGTTTTGTTCCATGATATATTATTTGGGCATTTTGGGTAGGGTGAGTCAGGTGACGTCAGGTTAGGTCGATCATCAGGCTATTCTTATTTCGTCTTTACCAACACTGATAGCATCAGCCCGTGCCGCTGGTCACTACAGCGAAACTTGAGCAGCACACCCAGCGCTACTATCCACTCGCTCCTCAGCTAATTACTTCGACTGCCCGGCTCGGCCCGACCCTGCCCGGCCACCCTACCCGGAACAAATTGGACTCTGCGGGAGGTCGCGGGAGGGACCACAGCTTCAATGGGCCGCCCGACCCTTCATTAGGGGGCGCCACCGGACAGAAGAGTGTATACGGCGGCCAATTTTCACACACATTTTACACACATATTGACAGAACACCGACTTAACAGGACCGACCTCAAAATGGCCCTAGGGCATGTTTAGAGGCCAAGGAACATGGCCCCGGTCTTGGAATTGTCAGGACCGGGTTTTCGGTCCTGACAGGGAAATCGGTCCTGTCGGGTCGGTGTGTATCCCGTCATCGGCCCTGACAAGTGAGTGCTTACACACGCACACACACACACACACACACACACACACACACACACAGTTATCGGACAACAGCGTAATCACCCTGTGACACATTACCAACATGAGAATTGGTAAGCATGTTGAGTGTTGAGTGTTCACCGCAAGAGAGGTTTATTAGCAGCTACAACAATATGGTTGAAGAGCTATGTAATTCAGAAGAAACCGCGAAACAGAAAGTGACACGTTACCCCACACCGTGTATCAACTTAACACACGATTTTTAATTCATGTATGTAACAACCGATCTAAAACACTATTCATATAAAGATTGTTATTTAATCATGCAAAAAGGTAAAGTTATAACAATATTACACGATTTCTTATAACGTACCCAATCTACAGTAAGTAAACACAAAATTTACAGGGTAGGTGGACCTACAGCAAATCTCGCCCCTGTGCAAATTTGGGGCAATATTTATGGGTGTTCGAAGGATATAAAAGAAACAAATTCGCTAAAACAGGATAAAGGTTTTTCGATTATAACTTAACCCGCGCCCCACTGGGGTCTGCGTATAACGCGCCCTACTGGGGGAGGGGGGGCACAGTGATGCAAATGGGGTTCACGAGTGGCCATAAATACCGAAAAGGCCCAAATTTCAAGTCCACCTAATCGAATAAATCGTAATATGGCTGGTCAGGCAAATGTTTGGGGTGTCTGAAAAAACATGATTTTCATGTTTTTGTCAAGACCGGCCTCGTGTATGATTGTCAGAAGTCGTGACGTTTTCTGTCGTAAAATGACTGTCAGATACTCGTAACTTCAAACGCCGCTAGCGTGCGTTCATTTCATACAAAAGACAAAAATTATACATGGCAATGATCCCCAAAGTCTGCTGCTTCTAATGCAGGGTCACAAAAAGCCGTATCTCTTTTGATTTGGCGTTGATCTAACTATTTGTCATCATGTTGCAATCGCAATTTTTTTTAATATTTGCTTTCGTTTCACCCACAGCAGTTTACACAGTGTGTGCTCGTTAGTGCACCATACCGTCCATAGCATTCCCTGATCATTTCTGAGCCGCACTGTGAAAGAATGAAGGCGCTAGCACAGGGCTGACCGGCGGTACTTAAGTTGTCGTCCGTTGCGGTCGGGTGCCGCGGCGCGGTGGGCGAAATGTTTATCTCGGAATTTTGATATCGGTGACCTAAGGTCAGGTCAATTTTGCGACCTCCCCATTATAAGACAATGAGAGAAAATTGAAATGCGCCTCTTTTGGACGAATGGGTTCAAAACCCTCTCAAACATCGGTTCATAGGTAAACATGACACAATGAATCGGAAAAATGCACCTGTCCCCTCTGTGTGCCCCTGAGGTCATCTCAGGTCATGAGCGGTCACCAGCAGTTTTTTTGGCTACAACTATTGATAAACACGTGCTAAAGCAATGAAAACACGTCAGACGTATTCAGCTCGACGATACGGATCGACTGATATGCAACATGACCCTTTCCGGTTAGGTCATGACCTTGACAAATGGTCAAATTGGTCAATTTTTTTCTTCAAAATGACCTTTCAAGGTCAACAAATAGTTCATTTGACGCGTCTCGACGAGAGGAACACGATGCTGCCAAAAATAATGTCGTGACTCTCTTGAGTCAAAAGTTATTGACGAAAAACCATTTTCGTGAAAACGGCAATTTTTACAGTTTTTGCCCTCTGGAGGCTAAACCGTTGACCTGAAGTCAAATCTGAGAACAATACTCAGAAAGGTCTGTAAAATGTCTATCGAATGCGGTTTTCCGCGGCGCTTTAGCTCGATTGGTTCCCGAGTTAGCCGTTGGCAGTTTCCAAAATTGTTGAAATTGACTACATTTGACCTTTGATGATCTCTGGCGACCTGACCTTTGACCTGACCCAAAATGACCGAAATGTTTCAGTCATTATTTTTTATGCTCTTTCGAATGCCGCTTACCGCGTGTCGCTACGTGGCCCAGGAGCCGAGTTAGACGGGGGTGTTCAGACCCCCCCCCCCCCGCCCGGCGCGGAAGTCGCGGAGCACCGGCCCGGCGCGGGTTAAGGTGGGATGGTCACTTTAACCGGTGCCCTAGTGGGGTCTATTTATAACACGACCTGGTGGTGGTGGGGGGGGGGGCTATTTTTTGCCCCCTACACTCGTATCTCCGAAACTACTGGACGGATCCGCAAAATTCAAACGGCAAATTTGTCGAGAAAAATCTAATTTCATTGACCTCGCGGTCACCGATGACGTCACAGGTCAGGTCAAAGATGAAATGTTTCACCGTTCACGGGTCTTCTTGGGAATGCGCTACAACATCGAATAAAACGCATTTTATCGAAAATCAGCCATAGGGCGTCAGTTGCCTAGTACATATGTTGCTATTAGAGATCACTGATAATACCGGGTCAGGTCACAGGTTAGGTCACCAAGGTACAGCACATAACCCAATTTTACTAGGGCTGTGCGATGCATGTTTTATGGACAATTTTTCATTTCCATCATCTCATTGGTGTTGGTTATAAGACCATCAGGAACGGTTTAGGTCACTTCCCAGTTCCTGGTGGAGGTTAGGTCAAAAAGGTCATATTTCTGAAAGTTGATATTTTTGCATAACATGGGCATTGATTCGATGCAGCTCGTCACGGCTAGTCTAATGGTGGTCTTTATTTTACGCTACGTGGAAGAATTGCTAAAAATAGAGTTTGAAAATTTGAAATCATCAATTTTGAACAGGTTCGCTATAACTTGGAAAAAAAGAGGCATCGATCTAAAATTTGGTATGTGAATAGAAATCGGTAGAAGCTATCACGTGTATTCCGATTTTTTTTTAATCGACAGACATTTTGGATTTTTTGGCCATTGTATTAAAAAAAAATGATTTGGGGGTGGGTCAAAATTCAAGAATTCAAAAATTTCGAGATAGCAGTTTAGTAGCCCTGGTAATTCTACACCTTCTATGTCTTATAGGTTTTTCTGTATCTTCAAAGCTATAGGCCTGACAGCTCTTCCCGCGAAACCTTTTTTGGGTCGAAAACGACAGAACATGACGTCACTCTGACGTCATTTGAGGCCAAGCTATCATAGCCTTTGGAAAATTTTTAGTCACAATGTGTAAAATTGATGCCCGGGAGGGTACTGAAAGTTTGGTGCTGATCGGCGCAGCGGTTCTGGAGATATATCGAAATGTCTGGAGGGGGGGGGGGCAAAAAATAGCCCCCCCCCCCCACCGGCGCGGGTTAAGGATAGGGATTCAAGCACGTTTGGTCACATCATTCCCCGCTCCTTTTCCAGCTATGCACAGCCCGCCACCACCGATATTAGTAAAAATTGTCAATGTATTTGTGACACTGCACAGTGCTCAGCCAGCTACACGTGTATTGGCTTGTTTGTTTATTGGGGCCTTAGGGCGCGCCGACTACAAAGGTCATTTTGCGCCGGCAACGTGAGCCGTTTCTGTGGATTGGTGTCAGCTGTCGGCACAGTCGTATCCAACGAGCCCCGGCACCCACCTGTATTTTGTGCTCCTTGAAGCGGGCCGCCACCTGACTCATGTACTTTTGGGGCAGCGTGCGCTTGGTGCCGAGGAAGGCGCCTCCCTGCGGCACCCAGCCGGTGACATCGCCCCAGCCCATCTCCTTCACCTGCCGTCACAGGTCACACAGGTCACCGGCCGTCGCAGGTCACACAGGTCACACAGGTCACCTGCCGTCACAGGTCACACAGGTCACACAGGTCACCTGCGGTCACAGATGGCACAGGTTGCACAGGTCACCTGCCGTCACAGGTCACACAGGTCGCACAGGTCACCTGCCGTCACAGGTCACACAGGTCACCTGCGGTCACAGATGGCACAGGTTGCACAGGTCACCTGCCGTCACAGGTCACACAGGTCACACAGGTCACCTGCCGTCACAGGACACGCAGGTCACACAGGTCACCTGCGGTCACAGGTCACACAGGTCACCTGCCGTCACAGGTCACACAGGACACACAGGTCACACAGGACACACAGGTCACACAGGTCACACAGGTCACCTGCCGTCACAGATGGCACAGGTCAGTAGCAGCTCCCCAGTCCGGCGCGGCGGTCAGCTGCAGTGCCAGTGACCCTGCCGGCCCGGCGGGGGGCGGGGGCTCACCTGGTTCTCCACCAGACCCTCGATGCCGTCCTGAATGCCGAGCACCGTGTCGCCGCGGTAGATACCGTTCCTGACGAACGACCGGACGGCGGCGTTCATGCCGCAGCAGGGCGCACCCACGTGCATCACGGCCAGCGTGTGTCCGCCCTGCCGGCCCGCCGACACCACACCGGTCACAGAGTACACTGGTGATGGGCACAGAGGTCCCCGCCGGCACCACACCGGTCACAGAGTACACTGGTGATGGGTATAGAGGTCCCCGCCGACACCACACCGGTCACAGAGTACACTGGTGATGGGTACAGAGGTCCCTGCCGACACCGGTCACAGAGCACACTGGTGATGGGTACAGAGGTCCCTGCCGGCCCGCCGACACCACACCGGTCACAGAGTACACTGGTGATGGGTACAGAGGTCCCCGCCGACACCTCACCGGTCACAGAGTGCTCTGGTGATGGGTACAGAACAGAGGTCCCTGCCGGCCCGCCGATACCACACCGGTACACTAAATGTGTGTGTGTGTGTGGGGGAGGGGTACAGACTGTCGCGCGGTACACCGGTGTGTGTGTGGGGGGGGGGGGTACGAGTTGCCGCTGTCACACTAGCGGGGGTTATGGATTGTTGTCGCACGGTACACGGTTTGGGTACAAGGCCAACTGGCCTGCCGCCAACGTTACAAGAGACATCATGTCGAAACCTTGGCCACAGACGGACGGACGTACGGGCGCAGCGTAAATCAATACAGGGTGAGCCAAAAAGGATGGAAACCTTTAGAACTCGCAAAAAACATGCATTAGGTGGTCACATACGTATTTATGCTGTAATATCGAGATGTGACTGGACTTACTTTCCATGCGTGCCTCAAAAAGTACCTGTATAAAGTGACATATGACAGATGGCGACCAGCCAGCACACTACAAGTGCGCATAGCGCATGACAACTTGATTGTTGATTCGAGTCCCGTCATTTGCTGCACTGAGGCCTTCAGGCGAGCAAGACGCCGCTTCACATCCAAAAAGCAGGCCCCATCGAGAGCCGCGGAATAAGAGAGAAGCGCGCCATTTTCAGAACAGACCGGGCGGACTAAGCGAGAAGCGCGCCATTTTCAGAACAGGCCGGCGGCCGACAGCCGTCCGCTCGGCCCCGTAACTCCGCCTTGCAATCGACAAACATATACTGTCAATACGGAGAAAGACAGCAACAGCCGGCCAGGCCCAGGGCGGACGGGGTCCCGGGTCAGGTCAGTGACCTGTCCCCACATACCTAGACATACCGATCAAGACAGGGGGAGGGAGGGAGTGACCGTTCTCTCCGAGTCACCAGCTGCACAGGCCGAGTCACCAGCTGCACAGGCCGAGTCACCAGCTGCACAGACCGAGTCACCAGCTGCACAGAGACCAACTGCGACCAGACACTATGTACACAAGAACCCGCCACACAGGACAGACAGACACAACACAGGACAGACAGACCTGCCACACAGCACAGACCCGCCACATAGGGCAGACAGACCCGCCACACGGGACAGACAGACCCGCCACACGGGACAGACAGACACTACACAGGACAGACCCTCAACACAGGGCAGTCCCACCATACGTGACAGACCCGCCACACGGGACAGAGACAGACACTACACAGGACAGACCCGCCACACGGGACAGACAGGCCCGCCACACGGGACAGACAGGCCCGCCACACGTGACAGACCCGCCACACGGGACAGAGACAGACACTACACAGGACAGACCCGCCACACGTGACAGACCCGCCACACGTGACAGACCCGCCACACGGGACAGACCCGCCACACAGGACAGACCCGCCACACGGGACAGACAGACACTATACAGGGCAGTCCCACCATACGTGACAGACAGACCCAGAATGAGGGACATGTCCGGACCGGGTTCGGCCCACGGTATCCGTCCTCCTCCTACCCTGAGAAGGAAGGGAGAGAGGGAGGGAGGGGAGGGGCCTCAGACACACTCATAGCGCACATACGTGAAAAGGTGCATGCTCTGGATCAAGGACCGGTTCCCAGTTGCCAAACATCAGTCAATGGGCACGCTGCCACAAACTATCGAGGCGATACGGCACTTAGCGCACATAAGAGCTTCATGAGGCTATAAAAACAAGAAGCGTTAGTCTACGTCTTATAGTGTAATGTAGGAAAACGGCGTCATACAACTGAACAGTGTATCATACAACTGAACAGAAGCTTATTGAAGTGTATATTTGCCGCCCGCAAATTTCTAAGAGGGACAGCACTCACTGCACAGTGCACAGCATAATACCAATCAGGACAAAAGCTGGCCTCTGGCCGGGGCAGCGTCCGACGAGCGAAGCGCCCATTCCTGTCACCTATGTACTTTTACTTACTCGTATGGCTGCAATACACACCAAACTGACCAGAACGGGGACAAGGAGGCAGCTACGAGCACCAAATAAACGATGGCAGGTGGCCATGAGACAACGACAGCCCATGCATCACTGCGCACAGACGGCCGGGCATGCCTCGCTGCAGAGAGAAGAGCACAGGCATCCGGTAGATGCAGAGCGATTCGCGGCCAGTATATGCGGAAATGACTGAAACAAGCCGGCACGACAGCGAGCCAGCGCGGCCCTGAGAGCGCCACAGCCGGGCGGCGGCCCGCCCTACCTGGTCCCAGAGCGTGTGTTGCTGCGTCCGGAGGAGGACGGCAGGCGCGGTCAGACTCACCGGCCGCCGGCAGCGCCGCCACTGCAGCGGCCGGCCACAACGGCGCCGCCACTCTTTTGCACATAAACGCAAAGTTCGGAGTACGAGCGGCCGGCTGGATTTGGGGAAACTTTACGTCTTAGAAGGCCCGGACCGATTTACTGGCAATATTTGTGTAGGGTAGCTCCATCGCTTCTACTAAGTGTTGGACTACCTTAAAATGTATGGGGATGACGACTACTGCACAGTGCACGTGCCACGTGTAAAATATAGAGGTGTCAAGTTTGTTCTCAATACAATAGCTCGGCTATTACTGGGCTAAATGCGCTGCAACTTGGACACCACCGGCGATGCATTTTCATGTCTCACGATTGGGGTGTTGCTGTATCTGCGCACGTGCAGGGGTCACCTCCAGATCTCCAGAACGACTGAACGATTTGCGGTCAAATCTGGTACACCGTTAAGGATTGGTTAGTAGCGTGGCCCGCACAAGTCAGTCAAAAGCAAGGGATACTCAACGTTCATCAAATCGCCGTCCAGCAGTGTGCTAGCAGCGCGACAAAAACAAAACCGGCTGTTGATAAGCGGTTCAGCCGAGGCAGCGCTGTGCGATCTGCTCCGATCAGCGGCCGAATGTCCTGATCGGCCTCCGAACGTCCCGTGACGAGACAGGGCGCTCTACTACCCCGCGCCGACACCGACGGGAGGTCCACTGCAACTCTACCCTACCCTGCCTCTGAGCGAGACCACACGACTGCGCTCAGCCCAGCCGCGGGGGACAGTCCCGCGGAGGACACCCACGGGTCCCAGGGAGGACACCCACGGGGACAGTCCCGGGGAGGACACCCACGGGGGACAGTCCCGGGGAGGGGAGGACACCCACGGGGGACAGTGCCGGGGAGGGGAGGACACCCACGGGGGACAGTCCCGGGGAGGGGAGGGGACTCAAGGGGACAGTCTCCGGGGAGGATGGACACCCACGGGGGACAGTCCCGGGGAGGGAGGGAGGACACTCACGGGGGACAGTCCCGGGGAGGACACCCACGGGGGACAGTCCCGGGGAGGGGAGGACACTCACAGGAGGCCGGGAGGACTAGCACCGACCCGGGGCGGCCTCTCTGTCCGGTCCCTAAAGCATGGATCAGAAGCCACCGGTCGAATCACGTGACCGGCGCGGCGGAGAGGGCCGCACTTACACTCACGCACACACCGGTCACACAGCGGCGGGGGGGGGGGGCAGCGCAGCCGAGGACCCCAGGGCTCCCGCGGGGCCTGGAAGCAGCGCGCGTACGCACAGCGCCGGGCCGGCGGCTCACTTACCCGCACCAGCTGGAAATCGGGAGGGAGGGAGACACCGGTCAGTAAGGCGACACACGGGCCGCACAGAGACCGCGCGCGGACAACGGCGCAGCTCGGCGGCCACTGGCACCGCCCTGTGCTCACGCCGCTCCCTCGATATTTCCTCCGCTCAATAGTACACACACTTGACTAGCTCGAGTGTTTCATAATGGCTTAAGCACACCAATATTCTTAAACTACGTGCAACGTGCCGGCTGCTTTGTGACCAGTTTTGACGGCGGGTGCCTTCTGTTGGTCCGCAGCCAGTGACCGGTCGGCGGGTGAGGGAGCCGGCGCGCCTGACTTATCTCAGACTCATGGCGGTCATCAGATCCTTCGACTGCGCTGATCAGCCGCTGCGGCACACCTCACTCAGAGTTACAGAGCTTCCGACCAAACCAGCCGTCCAGCGGGGAGACAAGTCGGGGCTTTGAGCCGTCCGTGGGCGATCCATCAACAACTCCAAACGTACGGCCATGACAGTCATGTGCTGGGGCGGTTTGGCGGAGGAACAATTAATGGTACACTGAACTGGTTTCCCAGCAACCGGTCAGTGAACGGGCAGGGATAGCTGAGGCTCTTTGAAAAAGAAATGTGATCTAAGATCCAACACGAAGCCGGCGCTCTGATTTCAGTGGGAAGGTGCAGTCGCATGTCGTGCAGAGCTGAAGGGCACGTTCGGCCGCCGTGTCGTCAGCGGCCGGCCGGCGGATCGGCCGCGGACGGCTCGCAGCCCCGACTGGTCCTCGCCGGACTACTGGCGCTGTCCGAGCTGAGGACATGTCCCCGAACTCTCTGCGCCAAAGGATCGACGCAGCTCAAGATCTGGCGGCCGCCACGAATCCGGGAGACGCCAGGCACGCCGTCTCCAATGCCTAAACAAGGAATCATTATGTGTCGACTCGTAATTGTCAGATATTGTAAATGACACATTTTATCAGGGAAAAAATTGGGACTATGTCAGAAGCACAGGAATAGCATCGACAACACAACGAAGTCGTGGCAACATTTTGATGGATTATCAAATGAATACCGCAGCAAGACGAAGGGAATGTCCCCGAAACTCACACATGTAAGCATTATCGTGGCGTGCAGTGACGTCACTCAGTAATAACGTGTCGATTCCGAGCACGGCAGCGGGCTTCCTCCGGCTGTTACGTTAGCTCCGACATGGTGACGGCGCGTGGACTCGCTGTCGCGCAGCCGAGTACGGCGGTGTGCGGGCCACCTCCCACTGAACAGAGCTGGCCGCGCCGGGAGCTCGGCACGGCGCCGACACCCAGCCTCCCGCTGACCACAGCCGCCGACGGCCGTCCGAGCCGTGAGCGTGGGGTCTCCCCGGCCCGGGCGGCCGCCCCGTGTGAGTGGGGTCTCCCGGCCCGGGCGGCCGCTCCGTGTGAGAGAACTGAGGACCCTCCTCCGGCCCGGGCGGCCGTCGTGTGAGCGGGCTGACCACCGCAGAAACCCCCCCCCCCCCCTCCCGCCCCCAGTGACCGCCCCACGCGGTCCCGCCCCGGAGGCTGGCCTACCTTGCCCTTGATCTCCTTGGGCGGTTTGAGTCGCGTCAGCATCTTGTACGTCTCCAGGTTGCGCGCAAAGCTCCTGTGGGCCGTCAGAGCACGCGGCGGTCAGCGGCCGGGCCCGGGTGGCGTCACCAGCACCGCGGCGGCGGCCAATCAGCGGCACACATCCCCTCCGCTCAGGCACATACACAACAATCGGCAGCTCACGTCTAAAATTTCACTTTATTTCATAGCCTAACATGAAAGAACCGTAAGCTGACTGCTGCGGGCGGCCACCCCCTCCCCGCGGGCCGCCACCCGTCCGCTGCCCCACAGCCCACCTGCCGCGCAGTTCCACGGCCAGCTGCCAGTTCTTGTCCTCCATGGCCTTGGCGACGGCCTGTGTCTTTTTGACGCAGGCCATGAGCGGCACGCGCACCGCCTGGTTGCCGTCCAGCGAGATGACGCTGGCCTCCGTGTCCGGCGTGGCCTCTATGAGCGCCAGCACCGCCTCGGCGCCCATCCGGCAGCCCTGCGCGACCGAGACCGAGACAGAGACCGGCCGTCAGAGCCGCACACGGCACGGAGCCCCGCACAGGGCACGGAGCCGCACACGGCACGGAGCCCCGCACACGGCACGGAGCCGCACACGGCACGGAGCCCCGCACAGGGCACGGAGCCGCTCACGGCACGGAGCCCCGCACAGGGCACGGAGCCGCTCACGGCACGGAGCCGCTCACGGCACGGAGCCGCACACGGCACGGAGCCGCTCACGGCACGGAGCCCCGCACAGGGCACGGAGCCGCACACGGCACGGAGCCCCGCACAGGGCACGGAGCCGCTCACGGCACGGAGCCGCTCACGGCACGGAGCCGCTCACGGCACGGAGCCCCGCACAGGGCACGGAGCCGCACACGGCACGGAGCCCCGCACAGGGCACGGAGCCGCTCACGGCACGGAGCCGCTCACGGCACGGAGCCGCACACGGCACGGGATCAGAGCAGCACACCAGTGACACCACCACACCAGTCAGTCACAGCCGCCACATCAGGCCACTGACACCACCACACCAGTCAGTCACAGCCGCCGCCTCAGACCAGTGACACCACCACACCAGTCAGTCACAGCCGCCGCCATACACCAGTGACACCACCACACCAGTCAGTCACAGCCGCCATACACCAGTGACACCACCACACCAGTCAGTCACAGCCGCCGCCTCAGACCACTGGCACCACCACACCAGTCAGTCACAGCCGCCATACACCAGTGACACCACCACACCAGTCAGTCCTGCCGCCGCCTCAGACCAGTGACACCACCACACCAGTCAGTCACAGCCGCCGCCATACACCAGTGACACCACCACACCAGTCAGTCACAGCCGCCGCCTCAGACCACTGACACCACCACACCAGTCAGTCACAGCCGCCGTCTCAGACCAGTGACACCACCACACCAGTCAGTCACAGCCGCCGCCTCAGACCACTGGCACCACCACACCAGTCAGTCACAGCCGCCATACACCAGTGACACCACCACACCAGTCAGTCCTGCCGCCGCCTCAGACCACTGGCACCACCACACCAGTCAGTCACAGCCACCGCCATACACCAGTGACACCACCACACCAGTCAGTCACAGCCGCCGCCATACACCAGTGACACCACCACACCAGTCAGTCACAGCCGCCACAGGCCACTGACACCACCACACCAGTCAGTCACAGCCGCCGCCATACACCAGTGACACCACCACACCAGTCAGTCACAGCCGCCGCCTCAGACCACTGACACCACCACACCAGTCAGTCACAGCCGCCGCCCCAGACCACTGGCACCACCACACCAGTCAGTCACAGCCGGCATACACCAGTGACACCACCACACCAGTCAGTCACAGCCGCCGCCATACACCAGTGACACCACCACACCAGTCAGTCACAGCCGCCGCCATACACCAGTGACACCACCACACCAGTCAGTCACAGCCGCCGCCATACACCAGTGACACCACCACACCAGTCAGTCACAGTCGCCGCCATACACCAGTGACACCACCACACCAATCACCAGTCAGTCACAGCCGCTGCCATACACCACTGACACCACCACACCAGTCAGTCACAGCCGGCATACACCAGTGACACCACCACACCAGTCAGTCACAGCCGCCGCCATACACCACTGACACCACCACACCAGTCAGTCACAGCCGCCGCCACACACCAGTGACACCACCACACCAGTCAGTCACAGCCACCGCCATACACCAGTGACACCACCACACCAGTCAGTCACAGCCGCCGCCATACACCACTGACACCACCACACCAGTCAGTCACAGCCGCCGCCATACACCAGGGACACCACCACACCAGTCAGTCACAGCCGCCATATACCAGTGACACCACCACACCAGTCAGTCACAGCCGCCATACACCACTGACACCACCACACCAGTCAGTCACAGCCGCCGCCATACACCAGGGACACCACCACACCAGTCAGTCACAGCCGCCGCCATACACCAGTGACACCACCACACCAGTCAGTCACAGCCGCCGCCATACACCAGTGACACCACCACACCAGTCAGTCACAGCCGCCGCCTCAGACCAGTGACACCACCACACCAGTCAGTCACAGCCGCCGCCATACACCAGTGACACCACCACACCAGTCAGTCACAGCCGCCGCCATATACCAGCGACACCACCACACCAGTCAGTCACAGCCGCCGCCACAGACCAGTGACACCACCACACCAATCACCAGTCAGTCACAGCCGTCGCCATACACCAGTGACACCACCACACCAGTCAGTCACAGCCGCCGCCTCAGGCCACTGACCAGGATGCGGTCGAAGGCGGACGGGCTGCCTCCGCGCTGCACGTGGCCCAGAACGGTGACGCGCGTGTCGAATCCCAGGTTATCGACGACCACCTGCACGGAGCGGGGGGAGGGGGCGTCACTCAGCGGCCCGGGCGGCCAGCAGCCGGCGCTATTACAGCCGGCCGGCCAGCCGCCACTGTGATACACAGCACAGACTGATCGTCAACTAACGCTCGCTCCTGGTACCATGGAATTTGACATAATTGGCTACGCCGTTTTTGTGAAAGGTCACCTTAAAGGCCGCCCCACACTGGACCTCGCAAGCGGGTTGCGAGTCTGCGGATACACTCATTCAAGGAGTGACAACACCATTCTCTTATGCTCACTCCATGAATGTTGTGAAGCCGATACACCTTCAGAAAATTACGTTTTGTCTCAATAACAACACACCGACCCAGCAGCCGACACCAACAAAACACATCAAAACTCGCAGCGAGTGCCAGCGAGGACAACAGAAAGTTGACTCAGTCAACTTCAGAAACGCGACGCGAAGTGGCTCGCAAGCCAAAAACTCGCTCGCTAGCTCTATCGGTTTCCGAGCTGTGCGTTGATTTGTTGAAGATTGTCGACATCTGACCTACAAATCGGCGAATTTTTGGCTTCAATAACCTCTGGTGACCTGACATTTAACCTGACCAAAGAAGTGACAGAAGTGATTTCTTCCTTATTTTTGACGCTCTTACGAACGCCGCCTTCCCCGTTTCGCTAGGTGACCAAGAGCCGAGTTAGAAGGGGGGGGGGGTGTTCAAACACTCCCCCCCCCCCCAAGCAGGGCGTGGAAATCCGGGACCCCCAGCGGGGCGCGGGTTAAATGCATCGTGATGCACACAACGAATGGAACTGCAGAAAAACGAGTTTTTTTTTAGCAATACCAATGTTGTGACAACCTATCATGAAATCGTCGTTTGAAATCTGTTGGGCTCATCTCAGCCGTCCGCAGGGAAACCGAACAAAACTCAGTCCCGTATTGGTACCTAAGTACCAACTGAAATACTTATCATGCAAATTGTGGAATAGAGCGGGTACTACTTGGAATGTTATCAGAATCGGAGCTATTCGAAAATTATCCCACAGACTTAACATAACGAGATCACGACCTTGACTTAGCCATCGTCTAGGACTTAAAAACTGAATATACCAAGAATATACGAGGCCTGACAAAAAGGAAACAGGAGCCCTGAGCCCCTGAGCCTTAAAAAAAAAACTCTAAATAAGGATGCTTACAAAAATGGTCAAAGTCCTCTATCAAGAAGATACCTATATATAATTCTGCATCCGGTTCGGATCAGCATGGGAACAGTCGGGCCTTTCTTCCGGAGCTTAGCACACCATGCAATACTGAATGAAATCGATGTAAAACTCTAGATTCTGTAGCAAAATAAAGCTGATTTCAGCGTCAGTTATTTGACGATGTGCTGATGTCCGTAGCCTACTGACCTGAGTCTGACCAGAAATCACTAGGATTTGAAATTTTCAGAGGGTGAGTCAAAGGGACGCGCCGCAGGGTCTGCCACAGTGGGCGGCGAGGCGCTGGCACGGTGCCGGGCCAGGCGCTCTCAGCCGACTCACCTGTTTGACCTTGTCGGCGGTGACCGAGTTGCCGTCCCGGTCGATGGCGCCCTCAGCCACGATGATGATGTTGAGCCGCTGACCCAGCTCCCGCTCCTGCACACCGTCCGGGTCACCGGTCAGCCGACAGAGGTCACCAAAGGTCACCAGTCAGCCGCCATATGTCACCGGTCAGCCGACAGAGGTCACCAAAGGTCACCGGTCAGCCGACAGAGGTCACCAAAGGTCACCAGTCAGCCGCCAAAGGTCACCGAAGGTCAACAAAGGCCACCAGTCAGCAGCCAGGGGTTAACAAAGGTCACCGTTCAGCCATCAAAGGTCACCGGTCAGTTACCAAGGCCACCAATGGTCACGAAAGGTCATCAGTTAGCTTACAAAGGTCACCAAAGGTCACTTGTCAGCTAACAAAGGTCACCAGTCAACTATCAAAGGTCACTAGCCAGCCGCCAAATGTCATCATAGGTTACCAGTCAGCCAGTTGGGCACTTAGTGTCACCAAAAGTCGCTGGTCAGCCACCAAAGGTCACCGGTCAGTCCCAGAGGTCACAAAAGGTCATCAGAAACAAAACAACACTGTCAATGACAAAGCATTGTGTCACTCCTACGCCACTTGTGAACGACCTTTCGTAGCCACTGAAAGTACCTTCGGTTAAATCTCCATCAGTAAAATTGTATCACAAACGGAGCCTAAATTCGGTGGCAACTGGTAGCGCTTACACTACTGAAGAAGATATTGAGAGAATAGGACAAAGACAAGCTAAAGCGATTCCTTCATCAACTGCGAGGAGCGGATTAATTTTGACTCATAGTGGCTTTTTACAATAATACGCAGCTATATAATTGCTGCAAGACGAGGTGCACGACAAAACGCGCAGCCAGTACTGGGAGGAGGGGGGGGCTTCAATTAAGCCCCCCCAACACCTTCAATTAAGTGGGGGGAGGCACTGCCGACTTTTGGTCCCATTCTTTCCATGCAACGCCCATAGGGCTAATGTTAAAATGGCAAGATCAAGGGGGCACGGTGCCCCCCCCCCCCCCGTTCCGCCGCCTATGGCGTAGCCCACACAAGTGCAATCAATGGACTTATCAGTTTTTTAGCTGAGGCCAGTTTCATCAACAGAAAAATCTCCGACATCCGAAATATTTTAAGACTAAAACACCCCCGAATTTCGTCAGCCACATGAAAAAAACATCCCTGGTGAGTGGTGAGAGAACCTATCCGAGAGCTATACTGATATGTTTTCGTACAGGTTTTCTTCTCCTCGTGGTTGCTCTGGTTTGTGAGCGACTGGATGAAATAAAAATACCGGCCGCAGACGATTTTCCTGTTGTTAAAATTGTCCCCTGAACTTCATCCATAAATAAATGGCTAGTTTTTTGTGTGTGCTATTTCAAGGCCGTGTGGGCTCACGTTCGCGCCCTGGGAACGGTTGCAGTCGGTGCATTGAGCACGGGTAACTGGCAGTGATTAACACGCAGCATATACAGCAAAACACGCGCACCAAACACATCAACTCGGAGCATGCACAATGTCATACGAGCCAGCAGCCAAGAAGCACGCCCATTGCTGTTAATAGCCCAAATGGAAGGGATCAAGCAGTGGAACAGAAGGCCGACCAGTGTATGAGCGGAGGCTGGGGGCTGCGGGCGGTCACACCGCCGGACAGCCAAGGCGGCTGGTCACGTTAGAGTGAGAGTGAGAGAGAGAGTGAGAGTGAGAATGAGAGAGAGAGTGAGAGAGAGGGTGAGAGAGAGAGAGAGAGAGAGAGAGAGAGAGAGAGTGAGAGTGTGAGAGAGAGAGTGAGAGAGAAAGAGAGAAAGAGAGAGTGAGAGTGAGAGTGAGGGAGAGACGGAAGAGGGGGTGAGAGAACAGCTGATGGCCAGCGGCAGAAGCTGACAAGATTGCCCGCGACCTGTCCTAGCGCGCGGCGCGGCGCGGCGCCAGCACACTCGCTGTGCAGTTGTCGCCGTTAACACGGCATGACGGCAGTAACACGGCAGTAACACGGCAGTAACACGGCAGAACACGGCAGTAACACGGCAGCACGCCACACCACACCGCAGCCGGACGCGCACGGCCGCCGCCACCGTGACCACCTATATTCTACACGGACCAACGAGACACCGCTGATTTGGCCCGATGTGGAGCCGCGATGGTCAGCGAAGTGCATACAGAGTAATCTGACGCGTAGAAGGGATGGGGCTGTTCAGCGCACATAGATGACCGCTAGTGAATCGGCCCAACAGAAGCGTGACCGGCCAGCCGTGACCAATGTTTTGAAAGGCTGCTCAGAAGCCACTGGGGCCGACTGACTAGCGGTCTTCTACGAGTACCAGTATGTCGAGTAGCCCCATCCCTTCTTATACGTATGAGAGTACCACTCTTGTTGCATTTCGACGACCATTGCAGCGCGTGCCATGGGCCAAATCAGAGGTGTCCTGCTGTTCCGCTTTTACTTCCAGTCTCCAGCTGCGGGCTCCACTGCGCTGAAACTTAGTCTGTCCGTGGCACTGGGCAGCCACCAGGAAATGCACCACCTGTGTCACGGCTGGGGTGCTACCGCACGCGAGCACGTGCAGCGACAGTTTATATGATTGTGCCCAAAGTTGGTACCCGTTAGGGACCTGGGTGGCCAGCTCAAGTCAGAAGGAGGTCCCGCGTCAGGGTTGCGCGCAAAAGCAGAGTTCACTATTGCCTTCGTCCATTTTTCGGCACAACACGCGTCTTACGGGCCTTTGCCCGCCACAAGGTCCAGAGGTACACTCGGGGGCAGATTGATGTTCCACCACTCCCTACCCATCGGGCTCCCATGGCTCAGCACTAGCTGCTGCCAGTGGCAGCACTGGCAGCACTGGCACTGGCACGCAGTGCTGAGCAGTGCTGAGGGCACTAGCAACACTGGCAGCAGCTAGTGCTGAGCCATGGGAGCCCGATGGGTAGGGAATGATGGAACATCAATCTGCCCCCGAGTGTACGTGCCACCACCGCTGGCGTTCGGGAAGCAAGGCAGCGCCGACTGCTACTCAAGGCGCCGCCAAAGAGAAGCAGTACGTTTGTACAAAGGGAGAAGCAGGACTGAGCAGGCGTGGTTTCCTCCACCGGTTCCGGCGCGCCCCGCCCCCCGTTAGTATCGACAGAGGCGCCAAGTGGGTAGACGTATGGAGAAACTAGCATCGCCCGGTTAGCGGCCTCCCCACATGGATGGCGGGCCGGGGACGATGCCTTGCCTGTCGCAGCTTCTTGCACATGGTCTGTGTCCAGTCCAGCTCCGCCGGCCACTCGGGCAGAAACACAAAGTCGGCTTCAACGGCTAGCGAGGCGGTCAGCGCCAAATACCTGGGAGTCGAGTCGGTCAGACGTCAGCGGTGGGACGGCGATGGGACGTCACCGGTGGGACGGCGGTGGGACGGCGGGACGGCGGTCAGAAGTCAGCGGTGGGACGTCGGTGGGAAGTCAGCGGTGGGACGTCAGCGGTGGGACGTCGGTCAGACGTCAGCGGTGGGACGGCGGTGGGACGGTGGGACGTCGGTCAGACGTCAGCGGTGGGACGGCGGTGGGACGGCGGCGGTGGTACGGCGGTGGGACGGCGGTGGGACGGTGGTCAGCCGTCAGCGGTGGGACGGCGGTGGGACGGCGGTCAGCCGTCAGCGATGGGACGGCGATGGGACGTCAGCGGTGGTACGGCGGTGGTACGGCGGTGGGACGGCGGTGGGACGGCGGTCAGACGTCAGCGGTGGGACGGCGGTCAGACGTCAGCGGTGGGACGTCGGTCAGACGTCAGCGGTGGTACGGCGGTGGGACGGCGGCGTGGGACGGCGGTCAGACGTCAACGGTGGGACGGCGGTGGGACGGCGGCGGTCAGACGTCAGCGGTGGGACGGCGGTGGGACGGCGGTGGGACGTCAGCGGTGGGACGGCGGCGGTGGGACGTCAGCGGTGGGACGGCGGTCTGAGGAGACATCGTGGACCGAATGTTCCGTCAGGCCGGGCGATGTAGTTATACGGTTTGGCCATCGGAAGGTGTTGGCGCAACTTTTGAACAACTTGTTAGCTGTCAGGGCAGTCTGGCGAGTCCCCTATTCTTTTTTTTTTCTTCAATTTTTAGAAATTTTGTCCGAATGGATGACTATGGACCCGGGTGCCCCGCTAAGCAGTGCTTGTTGCGAATGACACCACGGACCCACCTTGCCCGCGCCCGGTTCACCGGTGATAATTTGGATCGAAAGTTTAACGTGCCGCAGGTAGATGGCGGCACGGTCCTCCCGGGTCTAGCGTGCCCTTAAAGGTAGTGTGCCAGCTTTCTTGGACCGTATGGAGTTAATGGCCCAGATAAGGAGAACCGGATTTTTAGAACTTATCCATACCTTCAAAACTCATGGAAACGTCTTAAATTCTTCAAATTTTGAGTACCCCAGTGCGAAATTCGCCCCGACGGGTTGTCGGTCGTACCCCAACCACATTTCACACCACTATGAACAATAAATGCACACACTGAAATCGCTATTACCGATATGCTCATCCAATCAAGTTTCGATAAACCCGTTCATCATCATCTCCTGCGGTTTCGAACACGCCTGTTAGGTGGCTTCTGATGCTCGTCGAGGTCGGAATTTCCAAATACGCGTGGTGCGTCGGGCCGCGCTCTGACTTCGGCCAAGAAAAATGCGTCAGCTGATCATTGTCATTTCTGCCACTTGCGTGTGGTGAAATGGGGTCATAACTTATAAGACGGCTTTTTCATATCAATTATTTTACATAAAATCATATTTCAAACCATAAATAATGTTCGACAGCCAAATAAAAGAAACAATACCAATACGGGCTTACAGTTTAAGGCTCGACATTGTGTTGTCTACGATTAGACAGCTGATAACTCATTCCCGTACGTCGTATGGTCGTAACACTATAATGACCTTTGCTTATTGTCACAAGTGCGCCGCATTCGCGATTGTTGCCCGACGCCTGTTTGCAGGTGAGCCCACTACAGTTGTTATACATATCTAAAAACCGAAAAACTTTTAGGCGAAAAAGGCACTATTCCAGGCCCATTTTTGATTTTTTTTTTGCGATATTAGGTAAAAACAGAAGCTTCTTATCCTAGGAAAAATAAAATGGGAAATATTTCAACAGTGTCCCAAAATTGCATTCTGGCTTGGGTGCCGGAGGGGAAAATTTATCAGCAAAAAGGTGGATGTGAGTGGAAAATTGCTGGTCAGATAAGGCCCAAAAAAAAGTGATAAAAGGATAGGTAACATAAATTTCTATATACGGGTGTGGTAAAATGTGCGATGCAAAATGGCCATCCTCACAATGCTTTTCTCGGTAAAGTTGAGAGTAGAAAATTGTTCTGAAAAGTTGGAGGTGAGAGTGGAAAATGACTTTCAGCTGGATGTCATTTCGCACCCAAATCAACAAATTTTGGGACGCTGTCTTTCAAAGGTGGCACACTACCTTTAAGGTTACAGCGCGCCTATCCAATGTTTCCCGCGGAGGCTGCTCAAACATTGAGCGCCACTTGACGCCGGGATCAGAGTGACGTGCGCCGCCGCCCAGAGGCCGCCGGGAAGGGGCAACACGCGGATACAATTACAGGGTGGGCCGGGGAGCCGCGGGTCGCGTCAAACACTTGCCGCGTGCAGTTTGACGACCAGTTTCTTCTCCCAGTTGACGACCGGCCACTCCGGGATGAACACATAGTCGGCCTCGACGCACTCGGCGGCAACCAGCGGCAGATAACTGGAACGGGACGGGCAAAGGACGGTGGGACGGCGGACCGCGGACAGGACAGGAGGGCGGGACAGCGGACCGCGGACAGGACAGGACAGGAGGGTGGGACAGCGGACCGCGGACAGGAGGGCGGGCGGGACAGCGGACCGCGGACAGGACAGGACGGTGGGACAGCGGACCGCGGGCAGGACAGGAGGGCGGGACAGCGGACAGGACAGGAGGGTGGGACAGCGGACCGCGGACAGAACAGGACGGTGGGACAGCGGACCGCGGACAGGACAGGAGGGCGGGACAGCGGACCGCGGGCAGGACAGGAGGGCGGGACAGCGGGCCGCGGACAGGACAGGAGGGCGGGACAGCGGGCCGCGGACAGGACAGGAGGGCGGGACAGCGGACCGCGGACAGGACAGGACGGTGGGACAGCGGACCGCGGACAGGAGGGCGGGCGGGACAGCGGACCGCGGACAGGACAGGACGGTGGGACAGCGGACCGCGGGCAGGACAGGAGGGCGGGGCAGCGGACAGGACAGAAGGGTGGGACAGCAGACCACGGACAGGACAGGAGGGCGGGACAGCGGACCGCGGACAGAACAGGACGGTGGGACAGCGGACCGCGGACAGGACAGGAGGGCGGGACAGCGGACCGCGGGCAGGACAGGAGGGCGGGACAGCGGGCCGCGGACAGGACAGGAGGGCGGGACAGCGGACCGCGGACAGGACAGGAGGGCGGGACAGCGGACCGCGGACAGGACAGGAGGGCGGGACCGCGGACAGGACGGTGGGACAGCGGACCGCGGACAGGACAGGAGGGCGCTGCTCCAGCCGGAGCCGGGTGGACCGGGGGCAGCTCCAGCCGGAGCCCCGCCAGGCGGCCCACGACGGCACCAACACAGAGCGCCAGCACACGCAGCAGGCAGCTGGGGGACGGCGTGTGCTGCCACGAGCAGGGTACGCACAACAACACATCACGGTAGCTGGGAGTACAACAATACCAACACACATGCGGGCAAAATTAACGGCAAACAAACAAACAAACTGGAACGAAAACAGCACTTCAGTACATACAGGCAAGCGAGGATCTCTGTGTAGACAAAAAAAAATCAGGTCTCTTCTGTATGCCAACACAGCAGGCAGGGTCAACTGACAAACAGATGGGTCAGACACGAGTGCCAACATAAAGAGGCCACCGGTGCAGGGGCAGGGCGGTCGTCTGCTCAGCTGCCTGGCGGTGGGCCGGGCGGCCGCAGAGCGGCGCGCTACTTGCCATGCGCAGTTTGTCGCACATGGTGGTCTGCCAGCCGGCCGGCGGCGGCTCCTCAGGCAGCAGCACCCAGGACGCCTCGGAGGCCAGAGCCGCCACCAGCGCCAGGTACCTGGGTCGCAGGGCGCCGTCAGCCGCCCACCCAGCCGCCCGCCCAGCTCCCACCCAGCGGCCGCCCAACCGGGCAACTAGAGTCAGACCCGCGGCCCCATCCTGACCAGCATGACCGTGGCCAGCACGATAGCCATTCTATAATCCACAGCCTCTCCCCCCTCCCACACACACACCCTGGATAGGTACTCGTCAAACTGCTGACACTAGGGTCAGCCGACCTGAGACGGCCGGAACACCGTCATCTCACAGTGGCGTCCCACCGTCCCACCTACCCGCAGAGGCGTCCCACCTACCCGCAGAGGCGTCCCACCTACCCACAGAGGCGTCCCACCGTCCCATCTACCCGCAGAGGGTCCCACCGTCCCATCTACCCGCAGAGGGTCCCACCGTCCCACCTACCCGCAGAGGCGTCCCACCGTCCCATCTACCCGCAGAGGGTCCCACCGTCCCATCTACCCGCAGAGGCGTCCCACCGTCCCACCTACCCGCAGAGGCGTCCCACCTACCCGCAGAGGCGTCCCACCGTCCCACCTACCCGCAGAGGCGTCCCACCGTCCCACCTACCCACAGAGGCGTCCCACCGTCCCACCTACCCACAGTGGCGTCCCACCGTCCCCCCTACCCACAGAGGCGTCCCACCGTCCCACCTACCCACAGAGGCGTCCCCCCTACCCACAGAGGCGTCCCACCGTCCCACCTACCCACAGAGGCGTCCCACTCCCACCGTCCCCCCTACCCACAGAGGCGTCCCACCGTCCCACCTACCCGCAGAGGCGTCCCACCGTCCCATCTACCCGCAGAGGGTCCCACCGTCCCATCTACCCGCAGAGGCGTCCCACCGTCCCACCTACCCGCAGAGGCGTCCCACCTACCCGCAGAGGCGTCCCACCGTCCCCCCTACCCACAGAGGCGTCCCACCGTCCCACCTACCCGCAGTGGCGTCCCACCTACCCGCAGAGGGTCCCACCGTCCCACCCACCCGCAGAGGGTCCCACCGTCCCACCTACCCGCAGTGGCGTCCCACCGTCCCATCGCCCGCAGAGGCGTCCCACCGTCCCACCTACCCACAGAGGCGTCCCACCGTCCCACCTACCCGCAGAGGCGTCCCACCGTCCCACCTACCCGCAGAGGCGTCCCACCGTCCCACCTACCCGCAGTGGCGTCCCACCTACCCGCAGTGGCGTCCCACCGTCCCACCTACCCGCAGTGGCGTCCCACCGTCCCACCTACCCGCAGAGGCGTCCCACCGTCCCACCTACCCGCAGAGGCGTCCCACCGTCCCACCTACCCGCAGTGGCGTCCCACCGTCCCACCTACCCGCAGAGGCGTCCCACCGTCCCACCTACCCACAGAGGCGTCCCAGCTACCCGCAGTGGCGTCCCACCGTCCCACTCCCACCTACCCGCAGTGGCGTCCCATCACCTCCATGATGAAACAGCGCTGGTGCGAGTAGGCTGTGGCTGAGATGGCATCGCACGCCTCGATGATCCTGAAACACCCGAGACGTCAGAACACACCTGCAGCGGGACCAGTGACGTCAGAACACAGAGACGTCAGACCAGCCCTAGTGTGACCAGTGACCTTAGCCGAGGGGTGGGAGCTGGGCATATTTAACCCGCGTCCCGCTGGGCTATTGGCGGACCCTGCCGCCCGTTGGGAAGGGGCCGTTTCGCCCTCCCCCCCCCCCACACACACACAAACTCGGAAAGCTGCCGACCTATTTTCAAAATTCAAACACAGCTTCCGATAGCCCAACCGAGGAACTACCATATGACAGAATTTCATTCACTTAGGTGCAAACAAAAACTTCACAGGCCACGTCAAAGGTCGCATTTTTTACCGCTTAAAGCCTCCTAAGGAATGCTTTAAAACATCGAGTTAAAAGCATGTTAACAAAAATCATCGATAGGGTGTTGGTTGCTTAACCCGCGCCCCGTAGGGCTATCGGCCGACCCTCCCCCTCCCCCAGCGTCCCCTACGTCAGACGCTACAGAAGGCTCTACATATACCTACGGGCCAGGGTCTAATGCTGTAATACCCGTGCACTGTTTGATATGACTGGTCGAAAATGGGATTAACCTTCCAGGCGGTGGGGGGCATTTTTTTGCCCCCCCCCCCTTTAGTTTTTTCGATATATCTCCCGAACCGCTGCGCCGATCGTCACTTAACTTTCAGTACCCTCCCTTGAATAGCTATTGCACATTGTGACCAACAATTTTTTCCAAAGGCTATGATAAGTTGGCCGCTAATGACGTCAGAGTGACGTCATTTCTGCCATTTTCGACAAAAAAAGGTTTCGCGGGAAGAGCTGTCAGGCCTACAGCTTTAGAGATACAGAAAAATGCTTAACCCGCGCCCCAGTGGCGGTCTCGGCCAACTTCGCCCAAGTGAGGGGGGGGGGGGCATATGTTACCACCCACCTCTAACTCAAAAACTAAGAGGGCTAGAAAGACGCGGTAAAAAGCAGTCGATAGCTCTTAATGCGTACGTTTGAAAGTATTTCGGTCATTTTTCATCTTAGAGCAATATTTGGGTCACCAGAGGTCATCAAAGGTCAAAAGTTGCCAATTGTCATTACATTTTTCAGAAAACATGCCGTTATCTCAGGAACTATGGTAGCTAGAAAACGCATGGAAAAGCAATCGATAGCTTTTGAACTCTTCTTTTGATAAAGTTTTTATCAAAATTGACCTCAGGTCAACGGTTTAGCCTCCAGAGGGCAAAAACTCCAAAAATAGCTGTTTTTACGAAAAGTGTTTTTCGGCAATAATTTTCTAGTACAAAAAGCCACGACCTTTGTTTTGCCAGAATCGTGTTCCTCTCGCCGAGACGCGTCGAATGAGCTATAATTTGACCTTGAAAGGTCAACTTGAAAATTTGACCTCAGGTCAAGGTCATGACCTGACCGGAAAAGGTCATGTTGCATATCAGTCGATGCGTCTCAACAAGACAAACACAATGAGGCCATCCCCAGCGTTCTAGCTCTTTTCAATCGCGAGTTATTGGCAAAAATATGTTTGTAGCCTCAAATGACCTCGGATGACCTTTCTAGAGGCTATCAGCAAAAATGACACCTTGGTCATCACGGGTGGTCCAAATCATTGTGATTCTGAAATATTTGGACTGTTCCTATGCGTACACACGGATCTAGAGGCATTTCCATTTTTCTCCATTGACTTGTAATGGAAAGGTCACGCCACTGACCTGACCTTAGGTCATGGATATAAAAAATCCGAGATATAAAAATTGTAGGCGCCCATAACATCATGCAATCCACCAAGTTTAAAACCTTTCTGATAAACACTGCAGGCTGGACATGATTGCAAACTTTTTTAGGCTTGGTCAGTTAACTTGACCTGGTGACCTGACCTGACATGACCTTGGGTCAAAAATTTCACACATTGTCCAAAATTGATGTACCAAAAGCTACCCCAAGCGGCGCGGTTTTTTATTTACACGCAAAAAACGCGACAGGGTGGTAACATATGCCCCCCCCCCCCCCCACTGGGGCGAAGGTTAAGACATAAAAGGTGTAGAATTCAAAGGGCTACAAAACTGCTATCTCGGATTTTTGATTTTTTTTTTGGATTTTGACCCCAAAAATAAAAAATAGATTTTTTCATATAACAGCCAAAAAATCCAAAAAGTTTTTTGAATTTTGAAAAACCGGATTATATGTGATATTCCCTACCACCTTCTATCTACATACCAAATTTGAGATCGATACCTCTTTTTTGGCCAAGTTATAGCGAAAAAAAAAACTGTTCAAAATTGATGACGTCAAATTTTCAAACTCAATTTTTAGCAATTCTAGACCTCGTAGCGCAAAACAAAGACCACCATTAGACTCCCCGTGACGAGCTGCATTGAATCAATACCCATTTTATGCAAAACTAACAACTTTGAACTTTGACCTTTTTTGATCTGACCATGACCTGACCTCCACCAGAAAGTGACCTAAACCGTACCTGATGGTCTTATAACCAACACCATTGAGTTGGAAATGAAAAATTGGCCATAAAACATGCATCGCACAACCTTAGTAAAGTTGGGTTCATGTGGTGACCCTTGGTGACCTGACCTGTGACCTGACCTGATATGACCAGTGACCTCTAACAGCAACATGTGTACTAGACAACTGACGCCCTATCGCTGATTTTCGACAAAATGCGTTTTACTCGGTGTTACAGCGCTTTCCCTAGAAGACCCGTGAAAGGTGAAACATTTTATCTTTGACCTGACCTGTGACGTCATCGGCGACCCCAAGGTCAATGAAATTTGGTTTCTCTCGACAAATTTGACAGGGCTATCAGACGCCGTTTGAATTTTCCGGATCCGTCCAGTAGTTTCGGAGATACGGGGGGGGCAAAAAAATGCCCCCCCCCCCCCCACCGCGCCGAAGGTGGCCACTGGCCAGGAGGCCCACCGCCTGCCGGGTTAAAATAGTTCAACTAACAAGCTAAGACATAGACCGCTACATATGAGACGTCGATATGTAATATAGCGGTCTATGACTAGGAGCACGACGGTAAGCCAAAGAATGTCGACCCCGAATCCGTTCAGATCTCCGACCGACTCCGACTTCGACTCCGCAGCCCTGGACTTTTGAAATCAGCCCATCCCCGGTCGGCGACCATATGGGTGTGGCAGTCCACATGTCCATACTAATTATGTGGATATTGGATGTTGAGGTGGGTAGTTATTGAGATTTGGCGCCACGGGATAAGCCTATTGCTTTTGCGTCAACTCTGCGCGATGTGAATATGATGTGCTTGATGTACAGGGTGTCTCATAAGTTCGTTCTCACATTATATTTGCATGTGAAACAGAGTACATTGCGTCTTGATATATTTGTGACCCCTCAATGTGCTCCCCATTTAATAGGCAAACACATGAACACATGCTGCGGCATGCCAACCGGCATGTTTGGCTGCATAGCAGGCTTAAAGTTAATCCAGACTGACTTGACATGCGTCGTGAGGTCCTCGAGGCTGGAACAGCGCTACGCTTCGACGAGCCTAATTTAAAGCATAACCAACAAATTTTTATGAAATTTTGATCCGATGAGGTGCCTGGCATGTGGTCTTGCCACAAACGCCTGTCACAGTCTCCTTGCACCGCTTTTAAGCTTTGCTTGACCTGTGCACTGATGCACTGTCTTGCCTGACGATGGGCCTACGACCTCTCGGATGCCATTTTCTCCTCTATAAATGTGTTCATACTCGCGGTTCGAGTTCAGCTTGAGGGTTGAAACTCCTCCCAGATGTTCTTAGAAAAGCATTATGCTTCCCAAAGCTGTTTCTGGGACACCAATCGCAACCTGGTCAGCGTCTGGACGCCTATAACCCCACAATACCGTGACCTTGGCCTTTCGCATAGGAACATAACGGGACGAAACGGAGGCCTCCTCCTTCGCCCTTATGGGGTTGTTTTCGGGTTTGGACGGGTGTTTCATCTCGAACGTGGACTAGTTAGTCCAGATGACCTGGTTGATGTCCTCAGCCCTTTAGTTTTTTAGCCTCAGGCATAACGAAACTCATGTTTGGCCATTTTAAGACGTTTTTGACTGTTTTGAGCCCTCCGGTAAGCAAAGCTTAACCCTATTCCTGGCGGGCTCCGCCGGGACAAGAAACTGGCGGGGGGGCCGATTCGCCCCCCCCCCCTGAGATCTCGAGAACGAAGCAAGATAGCGACAAGCGGTAAACGGCATCGGATACGCACGGCCAAGATCTACAATTTTTACAAAGGTCATTTTCAGGTCAGGTCAAAGATGACGTCACAGGGGTCGAAAAAGTCAAAATGGCGGCACTAGATATGGAGAGTTTTTTCTCGAATAACTTTCGAATTAGTCAAGATAGGAACAAACTAAGGCATCATCGTGATCCTCTCGTCAATCCGCATCGAATGATATATATGTTGACCTCGAAAGGTCAAGGTCAAAGGTTGACCTCAGGTCACGTGACCTCGAGGTCATCATGTATATCATTCGATGCGTCTTGACGAGCTGAACACAATGAGACCATCCACGCGTCTGTATCTAGTTCCTGTACGGAGTTATTGGCCAAAAACCTTTGGTGACCTTTGATGACGTCACATGACCTCACAGCTGCCCAACAGCAAAACAGACCTCAAGGTAGTGAAGGTTGATCGTATATGAAGTCATGTATGGTATATGGGGCCATTCCGACCCGTTTTAGTGGTAAAAACAGGGAGTTGATTTTTCCCCCATTGACTTATAATGGGGAGGTCGCGAAATTGACCTGACCTTAGGTCACCGATATCAAAATTCCGAGATATACAAATTGCACATACTGGTACCCTAACTAAAGCCTGAAGAGAAGAAATTGATCGGTCAAAAACTCTAGCTCTGGCGTGATTGCAAACTTTTCTGAGGTAGGGTCACCAAACCGCCTCTGGTGACCTGACCTGAGGTCAGATCAACTCAAAATTTTCAGACATGTTGCGTAGAAGCCTTTTAGGAAAAGTCAGAAAATTTGAGCTTCCTAGCTCAACGCGTTTGGGAGAAATAACCAAAAAACCTCAGGGGGGGGGGGCTCCTGAGGCCCCCCCCCGCCAGGAATAGGGTTAAGTCACCTTGAGTTATGTACCCCGAAAGAACACTCTTAGACAGCTGGTAATCCATCCTGAAAAGTCTGCTTACCAACTTTCTAACCCTTTGACCTTTTTGATGGCCACTTTGGCACCACACAGTTTTGGCCACATGGCTCACTCCTGAGAGCTGACAAAAAAGAGGATAAACTTGCAATGATTGACTCCCGACAAATCATCGGTGTCACTTGCTGACTGTGCGTCCAGTTAGCGATGGACATTGTCTACAGACTGGTAGGCCTCAATCACCCTCAATCGTCGCGAATGGTCACGTGCTGACTAAATGCCGAGACGTACCCGTATTGGAGACCTCTATGTTGCGGCGTTAGCCGTCTGTGTAGGAAACGGGCTCTCTAGCAAAAACTATTTTGTTTACAGAAATTACTAGTACTAGTTACTGTGGAGCATATTTCTACCAGCCATGGCAACCACGTAAGCCCAGTAACCAACCAATTTCAGCGTGCCTTTAAGCAATAGAGCCTAAAAACGTAAAATTTAGGTGAGAACGAACTTATGGGACACCCTGTACTAGATCAATAAACTTTATGTCTGTATATGGGCTGCTCCGAGACCACCCCCGTCCCCGCGTCTCTCACCTGTGCAGCGCTGAGTCGGTGCCGATTGTCATGTCCGTGCCGCAAAAGTCGTTATCGATGGAGCCCACCATGCCGACGATGTTGAGGTGCGCGTATTTCTGTTGGTCGTCGGCCGAGATCTGACCTGTCCGCCGGAACAGCACACTCGGTCACACGATAGTCATGGAGCGCTTAGATGGGTTGGTGGGGTCGCTCCACCAGGTGACCTTTAGCGACCTTACCACTGGCCTCGGCGGGAAATTTAAGATAATCGAGAGCGGCCATTTACACCCCAACCCCACCATGTCCGAGGTTTTTGGAGACCCCCCGGAACGAGGGTTAACCCTCGCCAGGCCAGGGCCTTTTTCATAACGCGCACGACCCCCTGGCGATTGCTCCTGACACTAAGAAACACAAAAGTTACAGGGTACATGGACCCATAGGAGATCTCACCCCTGTGCAAATTTGGTGACTCTTGGTCCACATTTAGGGGGTTTGGGTGTCGACCCTCACCCTGGCAGGGGGGTCGATGCGACCCCCATAAGGTTTTTCGAAGCGTAAAAACGGCGGCGCGCAGCGCCACCAAATTCGGCACAGCCTATGGGGCAGCCTTTTTACATATGACCTGAAACTTTCAGGTCCGGGTGAACTTGGGTCAGGTCACCAGGCCAGAAAAACCGGTACAATGTCATGGTCAAATTTCAATTTTCTTAATGCACCTGTCCAACTCACAGTTTTGGACTGATTTCCTTCAAACTTTCAGGATGTGCTAAGTTCACCGAGTTATGTAACATATAGTTCGTATTTTTTATGTCACTGACCTAAGGTCAGTTAGAGGTCATTACGTCGTAATGTTAAGCCTATGGGAAAATATTCAATTCGGAGAATACTGGAGAATACTATCCGCTTCGTTCTGTCACTTTTGTGCTTTGAAACCTCGGTACTTAACATTATGTCACTTGGTGCTTCTTTGTTTGGTGTGCTTATCCATGGGTCAGGTCAAATGAGGTCAACTGAGGTCAAATGACGTTTGTGCCAATAACTTGTCACACAATAAAAATACAGCTTTCAAAGTGACATCATTCTGTTCCTCTTGAAGAGCCCAGTCGAATGATATGAAACATTAAGCATTTCGACCATTCTTAAAGTGACCATCCCACCTTAACATTAGTTTTAAGTTGAGATAGCCAAATTGGTGGCCATGGCCTGCAAATACCGGTTTGGGCACTCACAACATCGAAAAATGCTTTAATCCGGAGATAAGGAATTCCAAACTTGCAGGGGCTAATGCTTAGATGCTAAATCTTAGACTAAAACCATCGTTAACACGTGGTGGTATACGCTGCTTTGCGCGTAACGTCTGCCGCACTTCAAGGCTGCCAAATCATCGCTTCCAAATAAAGTCGCTAGAAACAGGGGAGATCCTAAAAAGTAAACAAAAGTAAAAGTCTAATATCTTGAAAACCGGTGAATAATTTTCGGTGAAATTTGGTAGATATTCGTTTTCGATCTTTCTGAACCGAGCGACATCACTTTCATGCCAATTCATTAACTTTTTTGAAGGTGGGAGGGTCCCTTTAAGAGTTAAGTTGTACTTAAGATGTGCTTTACTTGAAGTACGCTCAAGCAAGCAAAAAGTATATCATTCGACGCGCTTTTAAGTGCTGAGTTCACTGCTGCTTTTCTTCTTGCTCTATCTTTTGAGACCCTGTGACCTGACGTGAGGTCACTGAAACTCAAAACTCCCAGCACACGTGTCAAATGATTGCCCCAAATTGTGTCTGAAATTTGGTGTCGCTACATGCCACGGTTCTCACGCTGTTAACGAAAACCTCTGTGATTTCCGTTGCTGCTGGGCTAGTTCAATTTTACCCTGACCTTGTAACGGTTTTCGTGACCTGGTGAACTGACCTGGAATAAATGAGACCTGAAATTTTCAGGGAAGGTGCCAAAAGGTTGGCCCAGAGGGTATGCCAAATTTGGCGGCGCTACGCACCTTACGCCATTTGCGAAAAACCTTAGGGGGGAGGAGTGCATCAACCCCCTGGCCCGGCGAAGGTTAGCCCTCGCCGGACCTATTGCCTTTCTACATACGCGCCGGTCGAGGGGGATTGGTACTACCCCCCCCCCCCTCGCCGTTTCGCACCTGGTGGAGCTAGAGCGTCGCGGGGGAAAAACGAGCGTGTGCGCCGTTACGAGACGCAGCGACTTGTACCCGATTTTAGGGTCTCAGGTCAACCAGTGACATCGGAGGTCAGGTCAAGTGACACAATGCACGGGTTCAGTTTTTCATAAATAACTTCGCAAAAAAAAAACTATCACAGAGCCGCGATTTTGGCATCATTGTGCTCGCCTAGCTCAGGCGAGTCGAATGGTATACTTTTTGTTAGGGTGAGGTCAACTTGAGGTGTTAACCTCGAATCACGGTCAGGTCAGTGCCCCCAGGTCACGAAGCTGGTCAAAGGAGGTCATGTCACATATCATTCGATTCGGCAGGTCTTCCTGTCTCCCGAGTCCATTGGTGGCATTCCCGACTCGCTAGCTCAAGTTGATCGGGAGTTATTGACGAAAAACGTATGGCCCAAAGACGTCACGCAAGGTCAACGATGAAAAATTGAAGCATCGGACCTTGCAAGGAGTACAAAAAGCACGAGTTCGTATGCTTGAGATAGTTAGTTTGAGATCGATCCCGGCGCTAAAATAGCAGTTTTCACTTTTCATTTTGCCATATTGCCTGATAACGGTAAGGTCATATGACCGACCTGACCTCATGTGACCTTTGGGAAAGATCCGAGATATACAAGCTGTGAAACTTCTGGAAGATACTACATCCTGTAAGTTTCATCTCCCAGTGAAAGCTCCTCTGGCACTGAGGGCGTTGCGAAGTTGCGACATCTGAGGATCGTGCAGAGGGTTCACTTATGACGTCATAGGCCAGTGACCTGACCTGACCTGAAAATGCGGTTGTAGTCACAAGATGCGGCTTATACCAAAGGTCAGGCATGCCCAGGTCCAGCTCTCTATTACCGGTGTGTTCAGCTCTCTATTGCCGGTGTGTTTGGAGCTATCGCGAAAAAAAACATAAGGGGGAGGCACCCCCCCCCCCCCCGGGCGGCGAGGGTCAACACTCGCCCGGCGAGGGGGTTGATGCAGCCCCCTAAGGTTTTTCGCAAATAACGTAAAAACGGCGGCGCGTACCGCCACCAAATTTGGCATAGCCTCTGCGGCAGCCTTTTCGCACCTATCCTGAAAATTTCAAGCCTCAGTCTTTTCAGGTCAGGTCGCTCGGTCACAAAACCGGTACAAGGTCAGGGGAAAATTGGAATAGTTTAGAGGCAACTGAATGACAGAGCTATTCGTTGATAGCGTGGGTGCTATGGCACATAGCGCTACCTAATTTCAGACACGACTTTGGGCATCTTGAAACACCCTGGTCACTTGACCAGGGAGTTTTAGGTTCCAGTGACCTGAGGTCAGGTCACAAGGTAACAAAAACCGGTACATTGTCAAAATGGCACTGAAAATGCACTATTTTGTTCATGGAAACTGGAGTTCTTCCTCGATTTGATTCAAACTTGCAGGATATGCTAAGATCACCGAGTGCCATCATATGTACCGGGAGTTCCTAAATAAACAGTCGAATTATTTTTGCCTCTAGTGGCGTCAACTAACAAAATCACAACAATCAAATTGCACGTGATGATAGCACGTGCAATGCCATTTTATTTCATACCAAAATCCAGCCAAAATCAATCACTTTCTATCATGCAGCCGTATAGTACAGACATAAAAACAAAAATAGTACATTTCTATTTTGAGACAAAGTCAATCGTTGCAACACAACGTAAGCTACGCCGACACGTAAAAAGGACCCAAGTGCCATCAAGAACCGTCATTTTAAGTATAGTTGAGAAGTTTTTGGCAAGAGGTAGTGTGGAGAACGTAAAAAAGGGTAAATGTGGCCGAAAAAGAACCAAGAGGACGCCTCTAAACGCCCAAAAGGCACGAGAAGCCCTCCAGAGGAGCCCACAAAAGTCGCTCAGACGGCTGGGCCAGGAACTGGGCTGTAGCAAAACCACTGCTCACCGTTTGGCCAGAAACGACGTTCAGCTGTTCCCGTATAAGGTCTCCGTTCACCAAGCATTGTCGAAAGTCGACAAACAGTCACGGCTTCTTTACAGCGGCTAGTTTTTGAGAAATTGCGAGCAGGACAATGAGTTCATTCACCGAATCTGGTTCAGCGACGAGGCCCATTTTCATATGGATGGCCGCGTGAACTCCCAGAATTTTCGATTCTGGTCGACGGAGCCACCCGATTTGGTCGCGGAAGCCCCTCTGCACAGTGTGAAGTGCACAGCCTGGTGTGCAATGAGCAGCAGTGGCATTATCGGGCCTTTCTGGTTTGAGAACGACGCTGGGGAGTCTGTCACCGTCAACGCTCAGCGCTATCGGCAAGTCCTAGCCAAGTTCTGGACTGCGCTGAACAGGCGGCTGGGTGGAGACAGGCAGCTGTTGGACCAACAATGGTTCCAACAAGACGGAGCCTCGGCGCACACGGCCGTTGCGACTCGAGAATGGCTGCGGAACCGATTCGGTTCGCGGGTTATCTCCCGCAGAGAGGTGCGGTCCTGGCCCCCGCACTCTCCGGATCTGACCCCACTTGACTTCTTTCTCTGGGGTCACCTGAAGTCACAGGTCTACAAAAGCAACCCCAGAACCACAGATGACCTCAAGAGGGCCGTGTCGTCCGCGGTGCGCCGAGTGCGGCCGGAGATCTGCCGGGCTGCGGTGGAGTCCGCTCGGCGACGCGCAGAGCTGTGTGTGGAGCGAGAGGGGGCTCATCTGGAACACGTCCTCTGTGGCCGCAAATGAAAAGATAGCAAAAAGAAGATGGTATCACGTCAAATGGCATCGACTATTGTGTATGTTAGAAAGTGATTCGTTTTTGTCATGCCTTCCATGCTGATAATATACAGCTTTTAAATACGACTGTTTATTTAGGAACTCCCGGTATCCCAGATTGTCAAATTCGGTTGACCTGAGGTCATCTAGAGGTCATGACAATTTTTAAGGCAATTTGCCCGAATGTGTAAAAATAAGAGATTTGTGCTTTCTTTTAATGTTTTTGCGTTGTACTACCTTGAT